AGTTAAACAAGTTAAGAAAGCCTAGGGAAAATATGGATTTGTCAGTTAAAAACAGAGTAGGGGAGTTGTAGATGGGGGAGATGGAGGTATTGGGTAGTTTGGGGAGAATATTTTGAGGAACTTTTAAATGTTAAGGGAAAAAACAGAGGCAGTAATTTCATGCACTGGTCAGGGAGATATACCATCTTTTAGGAGTGAAGAAGAGCAGAATGTAAGTTGTGGGGGAGGTACGTGAGGCATTACGTAAAATGAAAGGGGGTAAAGCAGCTGGAATGAGGGATCATGACAGAAATGTAAAGCAGGGGGGGATAAAAGTGTTGGAGTGGGTTGGTACTTTTTGTTTAATTAAAATGTATGAAAGAGGGGAAAGGGACCTAGGGATTGGCAGAGGGAGCATGTATAGTCCCTTTATATAAAGGGAAAGGGGACAAAAGAGACTGTAAAAATTATAGAGGAATAAGCTTACTGAGTATACCAGGAAAAGTGTACGGTAGGGTTATAATTGAAAGAATTAGAGGTAAGCAGAATGTAAGATTGCGGATGAGCAAGGAGGTTTTAGAGTGGGTAGGGGATGTGTAGATCAGGTGTTTTACATTGAAGCATATATGTGAACAGTATTTAGATAAAGATAGGGAAGTTTTTATTGCATTTATGGATTTAGAAAAGGCATATGATAGAGTGGATAGAGGAGCAATGTGGCAGATGTTGCAAGTATATGGAATAGGTGGTAAGTTATTAAATGCTGTAAAGAGTTTTTATGAGGATAGTGAGGCTCAGGTTAGGGTGTGTAGAAGAGAGGGAGACTACTTCCCGGTAAAAGTAGGTCTTAGACAGGGATGTGTAATGTCACCATGGTTGTTTAATATATTTATAGATGGGGTTGTTAAGGAGTAAATGCTAGGGTGTTTGGGAGAGGGGTGGGATTAAATTATGGGGAATCAAATTTAAAATGGGAATTGACACAGTTACTTTTTGCTGATGATACTGTGCTTATGGGAGATTCTAAAGAAAAATTGCAAAGGTTAGTGGATGAGTTTGGGAATGTGTGTAAAGGTAGAAAGTTGAAAGTGAACATAGAAAAGAGTAAGGTGATGAGGGTGTCAAATGATTTAGATAAAGAAAAATTGGATATCAAATTGGGGAGGAGGAGTATGGAAGAAGTGAATGTTTTCAGATACTTGGGAGTTGACGTGTCGGCGGATGGATTTATGAAGGATGAGGTTAATCATAGAATTGATGAGGGAAAAAAGGTGAGTGGTGCATTGAGGTATATGTGGAGTCAAAAAACTTTTATCTATGGAGGCAAAGAAGGGAATGTATGAAAGTATAGTAGTACCAACACTCTATATGGGTGTGAAGCTTGGGTGGTAAATGCAGCAGGAGGAGACGGTTGGAGGCAAGTGGAGATGTCCTGTTTAAGGGCAATGTGTGGTGTAAATATTATGCGGGAAAATTCGGAGTGTGGAAATTAGGAGAAGGGTGTGGAGTTAAAAAAAGTATTAGTCAGAGGGCAGAAGAGGGGTTGTTGAGGTGGTTTGGCATTTAGAGAGAATGGATCAAAGTAGAATGACATGGAAACCATATAAATCTATAGGGGAAGGAAGGGGGGTAGGGGTCGTCCTAAAAGGGGTTTTGGAGAGAGGGGGTAAAGGAGGTTTTTGTGGGTAAGGGGCTTGGACTTCCAGCAAGCAGCATGAGCGTGTTAGATAGGGGTGAATGAGAGACGAGGGTACTTGGGCCCTGACGATCTGTTGGAGTGTGAGCAGGGTAATATTTAGTAAAGGGATTCAGGGAAACCGGTTATTTTCATATAGTCGGACTTGAGTCCTGGAAATGGGAAGTACAATGCCTGCACTTTAAAGGAGGGGTTTGGGATATTGGCAGTTTGGAGGGATATGTTGTGTATCTTTATATGTGTATGCTTCTAGACTGTTGTATTCTGAGCACCTCTGCAAAAACAGTGATAATGTGCGAGTGTGGTGAAAGTGTTGAATGATGATGAAAGTATTTTCTTTTTGGGGATTTTCTTTCTTTTTTGGGTCACCCTGCCTCGGTGGGAGACGGCCGACTTGTTGAAAAAAAAAAAAAAAAAAATGGAGAGAAAAAGAGATATTAACCCTTTCAGGGTCCAAGGCCCAAATCTGAAGTGGTGCCCCAGTGTCCAAGAATTTTCCAAAAAAAAATTTGTTATTTTTTCTTATGGAATGGTAGAGAATCTTTTTGCAAAGGTAATAAAACAAAAAGTACGAAATTTGATGGAAAATTGACGAAATTATGCTCTCGCGAATTTTGATGTGTCAGCGATATTCACGAATTGGCGATTTTGCCGACTTTGACTTCCATTTTAGGCCAATTACATCATTCCAGTCTACCAAATTCTTAGCTATTTTACTAGTATTACTTCTATTCTATCGATTGAGCACAAGAAATCGCCAAGTCAACTGTTTCAACTACAAAATAAAGTGAACGGAAATTGGTAATTTGGCCAATTTAACACAAAGTTCAAAATATTCCAATTTCAAAATAGCACCCAGAATAAACAATGTAGGCATTCCTGGCACTAAACTAACATTTCCTCGGTTCATTAGTTACGTTTTGAGGCTTTACAAATAAATCCCATTTTTATTTTTTATTTACATAATGAATTTTTATTCAACCAAAAAATAGAAGATTTACTGTTATGCAATATTGTAATAATTGTATAAATATCATCACCACATTTGTGAATGTGTATAAGATCCACCAGCTGGCGTGTATTAGACGTGTGAGGTCGTTTGTTTACTCTTGAACATCGACAAAAATTTAACATTTCCGCTACTTTGAGCTCAGTTTCAAGCCATTTCCGGTGCTAAAACCAATCAAAATCATCTCTATTTCTGTAATATGTCTTCCATTCTATCAAATGAGACCAAGAAATTGCAAATACAACTATAAAAAACATACAAAAAAACACTGCAAAGTTGCTGTTTTAATCGAAAATCTTGGTTTCAGTTTTTTTTCTCTATTATACACAGTGTGCTGCAGGATTTGTTTTATGTGGTGCACACATACCACATAGATGTATTCTCTCATATCTAGGCCCAAGTGTACCACTCACAGTTTATCAGAGTGAGCTGAGCTCATGACGTAGATCTACGGTTTGGACACTGAACGCAAAGCCGTAGATCTACGGGACGGACCCTGAAAGGGTTAAGAGAGTGGTGAAGGAATGTAAAAGGAGAGTAAATGGGAGAGTGGGTGAGATGCTGTCAACAAATTTTCATGAGATTAAGAAAAAGTTTTGGAGTGAGAATTATAAATTAAGAAAGCCTAGATAATGAATGAATTTGACAGTTAAAAATAGAAGAGAAGAGTTATTAGACAAGGGGTTGGAGGTCTTTGGAAGATGGAGGGAATATTTTGAGGAATCATTAAATATTGTGGAGATAAAGAATATTATCCATGGAGGCAAAAAGGGGAATGTATGAGAGTACAGTAGAATGCCTCTATCCGCAGATTTCTTTTCCGCAGTTTCAGTTATCCACGGTTTACTGTGGCCTAAAAATAACCCTTAATTTTGTTGAATAATGGCACCAAAGCACAAAAGTAATGATTGTGCAGTTCTTCAAAGCCTAAGAGAATTTGTGAAATGCTTACCATCAGTGAAACAATACTAACTCTCAACTTACTGTGCATAATTTATCAATTAAATTTTATTATAGATATGTATGTAAATGAAAAACGACTTAGTGTTCGCTACTATCCACAGTTTCTGGTATCCACGTTAGGTCTTGGTATGTATCACCTGTGGATATGGTGGGACTACTGTATAGTGGTATTAATGCTGTTATATGGGTGTAAAGTGTGGGTGGTGAATGTTGCAACAAAGAGAAGCCTGAAAGCAGTAGAGATGTTGTGTCTGAGGGCAATGTGTGGTGTGAATATTATGCAGAGAATCTGTAACTTGGAGATTATGAGGTGCAAGGTTTCTAATAGTATTATTCACAGGGCTGAAGAGCAGTTGTTGAGGTGGTTTGGACATTTAGAAAGGATGGAACAAAATAGAATGACTTGGTGGGTGTATAAATCTAGTGGAAGGTGGGGTAGGATTCATCCTAGGAAAAGTTGGAGGGAGAGGGGTAAAGTAGGTTTTGTATGTGAGGTTTGGACATTCAGCAAGAGTGTGTGAGAATGTTAGGAGTGAGTGGAGACAAATGAATTTTATGACTTGACATGCTGTTGGAGTGTGGGCAAGATAACATGAAGGGATTTAAGAGAACTGGTTACCTGGACTGAGTCCTGCACTGTGAAGGAAGGGTGAAGATGTGTTGCAGTTTTTGAACTGTAGTTATCAGCATGCCTCTGGCAAGACAGCGATGGAGTGAGTGATGAAAGTGGTTTTTCATTTTTTGGGTCACCCTGCTTTGGTGGGAAATGGCCAGTGTGCTAAAAAAAAATATTATGGAGTGCATGGAAAGCTGAGCCCCTTTCTATAAAGATTTGTTATGATAATTCACTTTTTCTAGATGTTGCTCTTGTTAATGTCAGTATCTTAACTAGACTTGAAATTTTTTTTCTCAGAGCTTAGATGATATTTACTTATGTTGTAGTTAATTAAATGAATTAAAAGGAATGAACTGAATCAAAGAGCTCCATATATTAGAACCTAATTCATCATTGATTTATAGGGAAATGTTTTTACCAACTAACTTCTTCAGCAAATTTTCCTCTGTCATTCATTTTATACTTTCAAATTTTTCATGTTTAAGAAAATATCATTTAATGCATGTATAGTAAGCAGAGACATAACAGGAGCAGAATTTTAGTCTCTTCACAAATCACAAATCACAGTTGTTAGTACTGCTGTTATGAGGTGCAGAAGTGTATCATTACAGCTTCTTTCACATAATGGATGTTTGTTCTTGATCGTTTCATCTAAATTGGAAAGATTATTACATTCTAAGTGTTCAAATTAATAATGGAAACTAGTCTACCACAATGATTTTTGCTCTTGATTTCAGATGCCACACAAAAAACGTAGAAAGAAAAAATTGGTTAGGAAAAAAACGTTTTATAACTTAAGAAGATTAAGGAAATCACATGAATTCAGTGCTCAAGTTAAACAAAAAAATAAACTCATAAGTGATAGAAATAAAAGAAAATATGGGACTGAAACAAGAAACCTTCCAGAGGAAACTGCTAAAGGTAAATATCACCAAGCTTATGTTAAGTTGACTTTGAATATTTTCAGTTGTTTTACTCTTGCTATGTGTCTATTATTTATGCACTTCACTATATGTATCTTTACTCACTGACTTTTATTTACTTTTTCCAAGAGTGTGACCTTACAAATGATTCAGTCTCTCTCACCTCTTTCTTCATTCAACTTAAGACAAAAATGCTACTTTCACAGTCAGGCTGTCACACAGAAAATTAGGATATTTTCTGATATTGATTTCCCACTTTTCCTTGGGTTATTTGACCTCAAAAGCTAAACTTTGTTACACAGCTGATCTTCTGTCTATTCATGTTCTTTGCAGTCTGTTAAACCTTATCTTGACAACTAATACAGTACAGCAACACTTAAGCTTGATAAATTAATAGAGAGGGGAGCGGGTGGCTGGAAATTGCGATTGTGGCTGATGAAGATGAAATTGTATTGCAGTGATCATAATAATGAAAATGTCTCTAACATATGAACTTTGTCCATTACATTCAAAACAATTGTCCTAGCAGATTTTGTCCCAAATTTCCAAGGTCTGTTATATCAAGGGTTTACTGTCCTATAAAAGTGCACTTCTTATACATTCTGATGTTCCATATACATATTAGATTTTATGTTTATTCTCCACTGTAATATTCTTGCAACTGCATACTTAAAAGGAGGTAGTATAAGACTTAAGAATGTAATCCAGTTTCCTGTTTTGTTTCTGCAGGTCATATGGAGAACACTGGCAAGAAATTGTTGAGTAGAGTTGGAAAGGAAATTAATGAATCAGGTGATGCTTCCATAACTACGACATTTGCAAACAGCTCATCAGGGTTGAAGGAAATTCTTTCAACAGAGAGTATACCTCCTCATAAGCCTCTCTTCGTTGATGTCTTAAGTCTGGGCTCAAAGAACGGGAATGGTAGTAGCGATAATGAGGTTGATAATGATGATTTATCTTCTGGTGACCCCTTGGGCGGAATGTCAGTGAAAACCATCTTCAGCAAGACTTCTTCATTAACTGAGGATATTGCCGAAACCTCTGGTACTGAAGGGAATAGTCAAGGCATTCCAGACTGTGAATCAAAGGTAAACGGCCATCTTCCACCAAGGTAGGGTGACCCAAAAAGGAAACACTTTCACAATAATTTACTCCAACATTGTCTTGCCCGAGGTGCTGATACTACAGTTCAGATGCCCCTTCAAACTGCAAATGTCTTCACACCACCTTCAGAGTGCAGGCACCATACTTTCTACCTCCAGGACTCAAACCTGGCTAACCAGTAAAAGCTGACTAAGATGCCAGGAGCAAGGTGCTAGTAACCTCTTCTGCAAAAATTACTGAAAATAAGAAACAAAGGTATTTTTTTTTTTAAACATTTCAGCTGTCTCCCACCAAGGCAGGGCAACCCCCAAAAAATGAAACACTTACACCATCATTCACACTATCACTGTCTTTGCAGAGGTGCGCAGATACGACAGTTTAGATGTCACTAAGCAGGAAATATTCCAAACCCCTCTTTTAAAGTACAAGCATTGTAATTCCCACTTCCAGGACTCAAGTCTGGGCAACCGGTTTCCCTGAATCCCTTCACAAAATATTACCCTGCTCACACTCCAACTGCTTGTCAAGTCCCAAAAATCATTCGTCTCCATTCCTATCTAACATGCTCATACATGCCTTCTGTATGTCTAAGCCTCTTATACACAAAACCTCTTTTACCCCTCCCTCCATCCTTTCCAAGGATGACCTCTACCCCTCCTCCCCTCTACTACATATTTATCCACCCTCCAAGTCATTTATGTTAATTAATTTCACATGCATTCCTTAATGTGAAGCCAATTTTATTAAGGAAGTTATGAATGAAAAGAAGCTGGATGTCCTGGCTCTAAGTGCATGAAAGCTGAAGGTGGGTAGGAGAGTTTCAGTGGGGGAAATAAATGGGATTAGGTCAGGGGTTGCTAGTAGAGTTAGAAAAACTTTTGTTTATCTTTTTAGGTCACCCTACCTTGGTGGGATATGGTGGTTTGTTGGAAAAAAAAAGCAAAACAGGAATGGCTTTTTATGAGAGAGAAAATTGTAGATCTCTTGCTTAGTTTTCACTTTTTCTGTTTAGGTTTAATTAACTAGATTAATAGGAATTATGCAATTAAAGAATAGCATTTAACAAAACCTGATTCATCATTGGTATAAAGTGATTCTCTTTACCCATCCTTCTTCTAAATTACGTAGTTAATTTTGCATCAGCCTTTATTATGGTATGGTAAGCAGAAGTATGTAGAATTTAAATTTTAATTTCTTCATATATTGTCCATTTGTAAGGTCACATATCACATTGATAATGTACTGTAGTGAAATACAAAAGTATGTACCATTGGTACTTCTTACACTTAATCAGTTTTTGTTGTAATTTTTTATCCAACGAACTGGCCTTAGCCCACTGAGGCAGGGTGACCTTAAACAAACGGAAGTTTTTCTTTCTAAATTTAGTAATTTATACAGGAGAAGAGGTTACTAGCCCCTTGTTCCCAGCATTTTAGTTGCCTCTTACGACATGCATGGCTTATGGAGGAACAATTCTTTTTCACTTTCCCATGGAGATAAGAGGAAATAAAGAACAAAAACTGTTAAACAAATAGAAAAAACCCAGATGGGTATGTATGTATATGTGTGTTCATGCATATGTAGTATGACCTAAGTGTAAGTAGAAGTGATTGTAATGACATAATTGCAAACAAACTATACCACGGGCGGGGACTGAACTTGTGGTGAGTGAGTCGTAAAACTCCAGGCCAGTGCGTAAGCCACTGGACCAGCTGGCTACAATAAAATTCATCCAACTACATATATTTATGCACCAAAGAGAGGTTAGCACAAGCCCCATTGTGACCACAAATGAAAGTTTTTACAGATGAAACACCTGCCAGTGTGGCTGTGACAAACTCTAGCTCTAGTTCCCTCAAAGCCGTCATCATAACTCACGAAATCATAATGACATGAAGCCAGCTCGCCCAGTGGCTTACAAGCTGGCCTGGAGTTTTACGACTCACTCACCATAAGTTCAATCCCGGCCTGGTATTTTTTTTTTTTTTAAGTGGAAGTAGCAAGATATACCTGGTATCCCATGTGTTTGAAACAGAAAAAAGACACCAGCAGTCCTATCATAATGTAAAACAATTACAGCTTTCCATTTCACATTCACTTGGCAGGATGGTAGTACCTCCCTGGGTGGTTGCTATCTACCAACCTACTACCTAGGTTTTTATTGTAATTGTTTTGCCTAAATTGGAAAGATTATTACATTCTAAAGGCTTCACATTCATAATGCATTATTGACTAATGTATTGTATGTTGTTTTGAATTTCAGGTGCCTCCCAAGAGGATTAGGGATGTATCATTGGTCAAGATGAAAGCTTACTCTAACTTACCAATATTAAGTAAATCAAGTGAATTTCATGCTCAGATTAAACCAGTGAGTGAAACTCCAAGTGATGAAAGTGATAGAAACCTTCCAGAGAAAATTAATGAGGGTGTTTGCCGCCAAGCTCAAGGTAAATTGACAGAGGATATTGTCAGGCATTTTATTCCATCTATGTGTGTATTATTTGTAAAGTTCACTGCATCTTTCCTCACTGAATTTGGTCTCTCTTTTTTTTTTTTTTTTGAGGAAAATGTTAACCTCCTTATTACCTGTCTGTGAAGCTTGAAACAGAAATGATACTCTCACAGTCTGGTTGTCCAACAAAATCTGGAGGCTTTCTGATGTTTATATCCCAATTTTTTCATGTATGTATTTGTGTATAAAAAGAAAATTAAGGTATATCACACAGTGTGTTTTCCTGTCTTTGGCTATGTTCTTTGCAATTTATTCAACCTTTTCTTGATACCTAATAGTATGATACCATGACAATGTATTTCTTATGCATACTGATGTTCATTTAATTAGATTTTATGCTGAAATTCCACTATGCCATATATGCAACTACTTACAAGAACTAAGTACAAGATTATTCTCAGATTTCCCATTTGTTTCTGCAGGTCATCTGGCAAATACAAGCCAAAAATTACTGAGTGAAGTTGGAATGGTTTTTAAAGAAACATGGAGTCCTAACTTTACTAAGGCGCTTTCAACTAACTTGTCAGGGTCAACTATAACCATTTTAACTCCAAACAGAACATCATCTAAACCTCTCTTTTTTGATACTTTTAATATGGATTCCAAGGATGAGAATGGTAGCAGCAATACTGAGGGTGTTAATGAATTATCATCTGACAACCCCCTGGGTGGAATGTCCATGAAAACACTCATCAGGAAGACACCATTGACTAAGGATACTGCAGAATTCTCAGGTACTGAAGAGGATAGTAAATACAATGTGAAGGTATGTGCGATTTTCGTCTTAGGTAGCCTGGGAGTGCCTGTGATTGGAAAGAAAATTGTGGATCTCTTACTTAGATCTTATATGCTTCAACTCTCCTTTAATTAAATAAATTAATAGGAATGTTCTAAGCAAAGAACAGCATTCAACTCTTGATTCATTATTGGTTTATCTACAACACTTTCTCCTCGACCCCTTTCTCAAACAATTTACAGTATATCAATTATGCCTTTATTATTTTCAGTGTGGTTTTGATTGAAAGAAAATACTCTATTATCATTTAATCTATGTCTTGTAAATAGATATTTATTAGCAACTGAGCTGTAATTTCATGGACTGTCTAACAGTAAAGTAAACACAGACAAAGAATTAAGGAGAACATTGGGAAAGGAAGTTTAAGAGATAAGCAGTGTTTCCATGACAAATACATTTAAGGCTAACTCTTCTGGGTCAAGGATAACTTCTGATACAGAGTTATCTAAATCTCTCTGTAAATGCTTTAAGTCTGCTACAAGAATGATAGCATCAATGATGATGAATTATCTTCTCACATCATCTGAAGACACTTATCGACATGGCATTTTCATCAGTAAAATCTCAGAATTCTCAGGGAAGAGGAGGGTTAACCCTTACAGGGTTGACAGGCCCTCTCAGGGACTTGTTCTCAGGGTTGGCCAAATTTCAAAAAAAAAAAAAATATTATTTCTTATGAAAAGATAGAGAATCTTTCCCGATCATAATGTCACCAAAAGTATGAAATTTGATGGAAAACTTATGGAATTATGCTCTCGTGAAGTTAGCGGTCTCGATGATGTTTACGCATCGGCGATTTTGCCCACTTTGAGCCCTATTTTCGGCCACTTCCAGTAAACTTGTCGACAAAAATCATAACTATTTCGCTAGAACTCCATTTTTTCTATCGAATGAGTACAAGAAATCACCCATTTACCGATTTCAACTATCCAATACAGTGGTCAGAATTTAGTAATTTTGCCAATTTCACACAAATTTCAAAAGATGCCAATTTCCAAATAGGGTCCAGAATAAACAAGAAAGACATTCCTGGCACTAAAATAACATTTCCTCTGTTCATTCGTCACGTCCCCATGCCCCTCTTACATTCTTTTGCTTTCCACTTTGAATTTTTATTCTCACAAAAAAATAGAAGATTTACTGTTATGCAGACTACTGCATTGGTGTAGAAATGGTATAAATAATATCAGTGCACTTCTGAAAGAATATTAGACTCACCAGTTGACGTGTATTGGACGCATAGCATGATTTGTTTACTTTTGAACTTTGGTAAAAATCGAACATTTCTGCTACTTTGAGCTCAATTTCAAGGTACTTTTCTTTGTAAAACCAGTCAAAATCATCTCAATTTCTGTAATATGTCTTCCATTCTATAAAATGAGACCAGGAAAACTAGAATACAACAATAAATACCATACGAAAATACAGTGCAAAGTCGCTGTTTTAATCCAAAAACACGGTCAGTGTTTTTTTTCTCATTACGCACTGTGTGCTGCAGGATTTTTTTATACCACACACACTGACCACATAGACCCATTCTTTCATATATAGGCCTACCAGCTTTCTCTCACTAGATTTGAGGGCGCTAGAATTTAGGCGTACTAGTACGTCAAAAACCCTGGCTCGTAAGCCGTACTGGTACGGCCGAAACCCTGAAAGGGTTAAGACATTACAATTCTTGATGGAGTTGTAAGAGAAGTAAATGTGAGGTCTTGGCAAAAGGCGTGGAGTTAAAAGATAAAGAATCACACATAAAGTGGGAGTTGTCACAGTTGCTCTTTGCTGATGACACTGTGCTCTTGGGAGATTCTGAAGAGAAGTTGCAGAGATTGGTGGATGAATTTGGTAGGGTGTGCAAAAGAAGAAAATTAAAAGTGAATACAGGGAAGAGTAAGGTTATGAGGATAAAAAGATTAGGTGATGAAAGATTGGATATCAGATTGGAGGGAGAGAGTATGGAGGAGATGAATGTATTCAGATATTTGGAAGTGGACGTGTCAGCGGATGGGTCTATGAAAGATGAGGTGAATCATAGAATTGATGAGGGGAAAAGGGTGAGTGGTGCACTTAGGAGTCTGTGGAGACAAAGAACTTTGTCCTTGGAGGCAAAGAGGGGAATGTATGAGAGTATAGTTTTACCAATGCTCTTATATGGGTGTGAAGCATGGGTGATGAATGTTGCAGCGAGGAGAAGGCTGGAGGCAGTGGAGATGTCATGTCTGAGGGCAATGTGTGGTGTGAATATAATGCAGAGAATTCGTAGATTGGAAGTTAGGAGGAGGTGCGGGATTACCAAAACTGTTGTCCAGAGGGCTGAGGAAGGGTTGTTGAGGTGGTTCGGACATGTAGAGAATGGAGCGAAACAGAATGACTTCAAGAGTGTATCAGTCTGTAGTGGAAGGAAGGCGGGGTAGGGGTCGGCCTAGGAAAGGTTGGAGGGAGGGGGTAAAGGAGGTTTTGTGTGCGAGGGGCTTGGACTTCCAGCAGGCATGCGTGAGCGTGTTTGATAGGAGTGAATGGAGACAAATGGTTTTTAATACTTGACGTGCTGTTGGAGTGTGAGCAAAGTAACATTTATGAAGGGGTTCAGGGAAACCGGCAGGCCGGACTTGAGTCCTGGAGATGGGAAGTACAGTGCCTGCACTCTGAAGGAGGGGTGTTAATGTTGCAGTTTAAAAACTGTAGTGTAAAGCACCCTTCTGGCAAGACAGTGATGGAGTGAATGATGGTGAAAGTTTTTCTTTTTCGGGCCACCCTGCCTTGGTGGGAATCGGCCAGTGTGATAATAATAAATAATAATTCTTGAAGTATTAGAATGTGGGGCAGAAGTTTGTGGTTATAGGAGGGTGGGGGCAGGAGGAAAGAGGAGTGATTGGTGGAATGATGAAGTAAAGGGTGTGATAAAAGAGAAAAAGGTAGCTTATGAGAGGTTTTTACAAAGCAGAAGTGTTATAAGAAGAGCAGAGTATATGGAGAGTAAAAGAAAGGTAAAGAGAGTGGTGAGAGAGTGCAAAAGGAGAGCAGATGATAGAGTGGGAGAGGCACTGTCAAGAAATTTTAATGAAAATAAGAAAAAATTTTGGAGTGAGTTAAACAAGTTAAGAAAGCCTAGGGAAAATATGGATTTGTCAGTTAAAAACAGAGTAGGGGAGTTAGTAGATGGGGAGATGGAGGTATTGGGTAGATGGCGAGAATATTTTGAGGAACTTTTAAATGTTAAGGAAGAAACAGAGGCAGTAATTCATGCACTGGTCAGGGAGGTATACCATCTTTTAGGAGTGAAGAAGAGCAGAATGTAAGTGTGGGGGAGGTACGTGAGGCATTACGTAAAATGAAAGGGGGTAAAGCAGCTGGAACTGATGGGATCATGATAGAAATGTTAAAAGCAGGGGGGGATATAGTGTTGGAGTGGTTGGTACTTTTGTTTAATAAATGTATGAAAGAGGGGAAGGTACCTAGGGATTGGCAGAGAGCATGTATAGTCCCTTTATATAAAGGGAAAGGGGACAAAAGAGACTGTAAAAATTATAGAGGAATAAGCTTACTGAGTATACCAGGAAAAGTGTACGGTAGGGTTATAATTGAAAGAATTAGAGGTAAGACAGAATGTAGGATTGCGGATGAGCAAGGAGGTTTTAGAGTGGGTAGGGGATGTGTAGATCAGGTGTTTACATTGAAGCATATATGTGAACAGTATTTAGATAAAGATAGGGAAGTTTTTATTGCATTTATGGATTTAGAAAAGGCATATGATAGAGTGATAGAGGAGCAATGTGGCAGATGTTGCAAGTATATGGAATAGGTGGTAAGTTATTAAATGCTGTAAAGAGTTTTTATGAGGATAGTGAGGCTCAGGTTAGGGTGTGTAAGAAGAGAGGGAGACTACTTCCCCGTAAAAGTAGGTCTTAGACAGGGATGTGTAATGTCACCATGGTTGTTTAATATATTTATAGATGGGGTTGTAAAGGAAGTAAATGCTAGGGTGTTTGGGAGAGGGTGGGATTAAATTATGGGGAATCAAATTCAAAATGGGAATTGACACAGTTACTTTTTGCTGAGATACTGTGCTTATGGGAGATTCTAAAGAAAAATTGCAAAGGTTAGTGGATGAGTTTGGGAATGTGTGTAAAGGTAGAAAGTTGAAAGTGAACATAGAAAAGAGTAAGGTGATGAGGGTGTCAAATGATTTAGATAAAGAAAAATTGATATCAAATTGGGGAGGAGGAGTATGGAAGAAGTGAATGTTTTCAGATACTTGGGAGTTGACGTGTCGGCGGATGGATTTATGAAGGATGAGGTTAATCATAGAATTGATGAGGGAAAAAAGGTGAGTGGTGCGTTGAGGTATATGTGGAGTCAAAAAACGTTATCTATGGAGGCAAAGAAGGGAATGTATGAAAGTATAGTAGTACCAACACTCTTATATGGGTGTGAAGCTTGGTGGTAAATGCAGCAGCGAGGAGACGGTTGGAGGCAGCGGAGATGTCCTGTTTAAGGCAATGTGTGGTGTAAATATTATGCAGAAAATTCGGAGTGTGGAAATTAGGAGAAGGTGGGAGTTAATAAAAGTATTAGTCAGAGGCAGAAAGGGGTTGTTGAGGTGGTTTGGTCATTTAGAGAGAATGGATCACAGTAGAATGACATGGAAAGCATATAAATCTATAGGGGAAGGCAGGCGGGGTAGGGGTCGTCCTCGAAAGGGTTGGAGAGAGGGGGTAAAGGAGGTTTTGTGGGTAAGGGGCTTGGACTTCCAGCAAGCGTGCGTGAGCGTGTTAGATAGGAGTGAATGGAGACGAATGGTACTTGGGACCTGACGATCTGTTGGAGTGTGAGCAGGGTAATATTTAGTGAAGGGATTCAGGGAAACCGTTATTTTCATATTGTCGGACTTGAGTCCTGGAAATGGGAAGTACAATGCCTGCACTTTAAAGGAGGGGTTTGGGATATTGGCAGTTTGGAGGGATATGTTGTGTATCTTTATATGTTTATGCTTCTAGACTGTTGTATTCTGAGCACCTCTTGCAAAAACAGTGATAATGTGCGAGTGTGGTGAAAGTGTTGAATGATGATGAAAGTATTTTCTTTTTGGGGATTTTCTTTCTTTTTTGGGTCACCCTGCCTCGGTGGGAGACGGCCGACTTGTTGAAAAAAAAAAAAAAAAAAAAAAATTCTTGAAGTGAATGTTTTGCATTGCAAGAGGCTTGGATATTCAAGAAGCATGTGAGTGTGTGTTAAGAGAGGAGTGAGTGGAGGCAAGTGGTTTTTATAACTTGATGTACTGTTGGAGTGTGAGCAAGATAATATTTATGAAGGAATTCAGGGAAACCGGTTAGCAACACTTTAGTAATGGAGGTGAGAGATAGTGGTAGCAATCTAGAGGAAGGGTGGGAATGTTACAATATGGAAGGACATCTGAGCTGTAATGCCAGCATGTCCCTAGCAAGACAGTGATAGAGTGAGTGATGATGAAAGTGTTTCTTCGTGTTTTAGATCACTCTGCCTCAGTGAGAGATGGCTGGTGTGTTAAAAAATAAAAATAGTATTTCTGTATTCATGGGTAAGCACAAAACCTTAAAGGGCAACACAGTGCTTAGGGAATGGAAGGCAAATATGAGGGGTGGGGATATTTTTTAAGGTTAACATCATATGGAATGCATGGAAAGCTGAGCTCCTTGCAATAAAGATTTATAATGCTTGACTTCTCTTGATGCAGCTCTTGTTAATATCAGTGTCTTAAGTAGATGAAATGCTACATCTTTGAGAAAACCGTAGCTCTCTACTAATGCTCTAGTTAATTAAACAATTTAAAAGGAATGAACTGAATCAGTGAACTTCATATATTAGAACCTAATTCATCATTGATTTATGGGGAAGTGTTTTTCCCATCTAACTTCTTCAACAAATTATCCTCCATCATTCATTTTATATTTTCAAAGTTTATATGTTAAGAAAATATTGTTTAATCAACGTACAGTAAGCAGAGACATATTAGGAGCAGAATTTTCGTTTCTTCACATATTGTCTAGTTAGGTTACAAATCATGGTTGTTAGTACTACTGTTGTGAAGTGCAGAAGCTTATACCATTATAGCTTCTCTCACATAATGGATGGATGTTCTTGATCATTCATCTAAACTGGAAAGATTATTACATTCTAAGTGTTCACATTCATAATGGAAATTAGTCTACCACGATGACTTTTGCTTTTAATTTCAGATGCCACACCAAAAACGTAGGAAGCAAAAATTAGTTGTGAAAAAAACATTTTATAACTTACGAAGATTAAGGAAATCACGTGAATTTGGTGCTCAAATTAAACAAAAAAATAAACTCATAAGTGATACAAATAAAAAAAAATATGGAGTTGAAACAAGAAACCTTCCAGAGGAAACTGCTAAAGGTAAATATCACCAAGCTTATGTTAAGTTGACTTAGAATATTTTCAGTTGTTTTATTCCTGCTATGTGTCAGTTATTTATACACCTCACTATATGTTTACTTACTGACTGGTGCTTTTCAAGAAAAAACCCTGCAAATGATTCACACTCGCCTCTTTCTTTGCTAACCATGAGACAAAAATATTACTCTCAGTCAGGCTGTCACACAGAAAATCAGGGTATTTGATGATTTTGATCTTCCACTTTTCTTTGTATTATTTGACTACACAAAGTAAACTTTGTTACACAGCTCATCTTCATATCTCTTACTATTTTTTTTGCAGTCTGTTAAACCTTATCTGATAGCTAATACTGTACAGTAACCCTTAGACTTGACATATTAAAACAGGGAGGAGCTAGTGGCTGAAAATTGTGATTGTGGCAGATGAAGATGAAATTGTATTGCAGTCATCAAATAATGAACATCTTTGTAACTAACGAACTTTCTCTGTTGCATTCAAATCAGTTGTCCTAGCAGATCTTGTCCCATATTTCCAAGTTCCATTAAAAGAAAGGTTTACTGTCCTATAAAGGTGCACTTCTTGTACATGCTGATGTTCCATACATTAGATTTTTTTGTTTATACACTGTGTTTATCAAATGGTATACACTACTGACAGGTTGGTAGATAAGACACATAGGCAACATTTAGGCAACTTTATTCCGAAACGTTTCGCCTACACAGTAGGCTTCTTCAGTCGAGTACAGAAAATAGGCAGGAGCAGTAGAGATGTGAAGACGATGTAATCAGTCCATCACCCTTGAAGTCGCATATTTGAGGTTGTCAGCCCCTCAGCCTGGAGAAGTTCTGTTCCAAAGTCTGGAACTAACTGAAGATCAAGTGACAGTGTTGAGACTTAAATACTGTTGTCTATGTGTCTTATCTACCAACCTGTCGGTATTGTATACCATTTGATAATCACTCTGTCAGACACTGCAACACAATGGCATCTTGGTATAGAAGAGAAAACACCTTGGACAACTTTTTCAAGTGAGAATTGTTTGATCTGAGAGGGACATGACCTCCCAGTGGCTACATTCTCACTACTACTACGCTGCACCTCTCCTTCCGACAGTATTTAAGTCTCAACACTCGCTTGATCTTCAGTTAGTTCCAGACTCTGGAACAGAACTTCTCCAGGCTGAGGGACTGACAACCTCAAATATGCAACTTCAAGGGTGATGGACTGATTACATCGTCTTCACATCTCTACTGCTCCTGCCTACTTTCTGTACTCGACTGAAGAAGCCTACTGTGTAGGCGAAACGTTTCGGAATAAAGTTGCCTAAATGTTGCCTATGTGTCTTATCTACCATGTTTATACTCTACTGTAATATTCATGCAACTACATACTTAAAAGGAGGTAGTATAAGACTTAAGAGTATAATCCAGTTTTCCCTTTTGCTTCTGCAGGTCATATGGAGAACACTGGCAAGAAATTGTTGAGAAGAGTTGGAAAGGAAATTAATAAATCAGGTGATGCTTCCATAACTACGACATTTGCAAACAGCTCATCAGAGTTGAAGGAAATTGTTCCAGCAGAGAGTATACTTCCTCATAAGCCTCTCTTTGTTGATGTCCTAAGTCTGGGCTCAAAGAATGAGAATGGTAGCAGTGATAATGAGGTTGATGATGAGGATTTATCTTCTGATGATCCTTTGGGTGGAATGTCAGTGAAAACCATCTTCAGCAAGACTGATTCATTAACTGACGATATTGCTGAAACCTCTGGTACTGAAGAGGATAGTCAAGGCATTTCACACCTTGAAACAAAGGTATGTTTTTTTCTTTTTAACATGCTAGCCATCTCCTACTAAGGCAGCATGACCCGACCATCATTCACTCCACCATTGTTTTCCCAGAGGCATGCCAATACTACATTTCAGATGCCCCTCCAAACCGCAGACATCTCCACACTTCCTTCAGGGTGCAGGCACTGTAATTCCCACCTCCAGGACTCAAGCCTGGCTACCTGGGAAAAGCTGACTAAGATGCCAAGAGCAAGGCGCTAGTAACCCCTTGTCCTGTATAAACCACTGAATGCCGACAGCAAGGGGCTAGTAACCCCTTCCTGTATAAGCTACTAAATGTCAGAATGATAAAAACTTTACTTTTTCTTTTTTTTCTGGTCACCCTGCCTCAGTGGGAGATGGTCAGTGTGTTAAAAAAATTAGTGAAGAAAGGTTTCAAGCCTCACCTGTTTTGTGATTTGAAGGAGCATTGCTCTTCTAAGTTTCTTTCAATAATGTATTTGTTGTAATGTTTGAAATCTCTAGATACTGCACTTCCTTCAAGGGAGGTTCCTTCATGTTAGTGAAATGTTCTTGTTCCAAGGAATTGGATCTGCACCTCCTTTTCTTGGATTGAGCCTGAATACCTATCATTTCCCCAGGCACTGTATAACCCCAACAGGTTTAGTGCTAGCTAATAAATGTAATAGTAATAGAAATAATGATAATAATAATCTTCATGGGAAAGTGGAGAAGAATCTCTCCTCCATAAGCCATGCATGTTGTAAGAGGCGACTAAAATGCGAGGAGCAAGGGGGCTAGTAATTCTTTCTCCTGTATAAATTATTAAATGTAAAAAGAAAAAAACCATCAGAAAGCATTTCTTCTTTTTCATTTCATCCTGATTGACCAAGCAAGCACCAGAAGAGCACAGCCCAAAGCTGGACTTTGGCTATGCCCCGTCCCTCCAGCCTTTCCTAGGATGACCACTACCCCATCTTCCTTCCACTACAGATTTATATCCCCTCCAAATCATCCTCTTTTATCCTCTCCTCTCTAAATGTCTGAACCACCTCAACAATACCCCCTTCAACCTTCTGGATAATACTTTTAGTGACTCTGCACCTCCTCCTAATCTCTAAGCTTCAGAGTCTCTGCATAATATTCACACCACACATTGCCCTCAAGCACATCATCTCCACTGTCTCCAGCCTTCTCATTTCTGCATCATTCACAACAAATGTTTCACATCCATATAAGAGTTGGTACCATTACCTTTTTTGCTTCTATGGATAACATTCTTTGTTGTTACAGATTCTTTAATACACCACTCACCTTTTTCCCTTCATCAGTTCTCTGGTTCACCTCGTCTTTCATAGACCCATCTGCTTATAAGTCCACTCTCGAGTATCTGAGCACATTCACTTCCTCCATACCCTTTGGTAATGTACTGTTGTGAAATACAGAAGTACATCCCATTGTGGTACCTCATATTTAATGGATTTTTATTCTAATTGTTTTATCTTAAATGGAAAGGTTATTACATTCTAAAGTCTTCAGTATAGACTAATGCAATGTATGTTATTTTGAATTTCAGATGCCCCTCAGGAGGATTAGGGATTTGTCATTGGTCAAGATGAAAGCTTATCCTAACTTACCAATATTAAGTAAATCAAGTGAATTCAGTGCTCAGATTAAACCATTGAGTGAACTTACAAGTGATGCAAGTGAAAGAAACCTTCCAGAGAAAATTAATGATGGTGTCTGCCACCAAGCTCAGGGTAAGTTGACAGAAAATATTGTCAGGCAGACACTGAGCTCATGGTAAGTTGACAAAGAATATTGTAACACATTTCATTCTGGTTATATGTATTGTTTGTAAAGTTCACTACATCTTCCCTCGCTTATTTTTTTTAATGACCAGCAAACTATTAGCCTTTCTCATTCCTTGTCTGCAAAACTTGTGACAAGAATGCTACTTTCACAGTCTGATTGTCTAACAGAATCTGGAGATTTTCTGATTTTTATCTCCCAGTATTTCCTTGTATGTATTTGTGTACAAATTCATATATTAAGAGTTGACACACACTGTGTTTTCCTGTCTCTGGCTATGTTCTTTACATTGTATTCATCCTTATCTTGATGCAGTACTATGACACTGTATTTCTTATGCATGCTGACGTTCATTTGATTAGATTTTATATTGAAATTCCACTGTCATATATGCAACTACTTACAAGAAGGTAGTACAAAATCATTCTCAGATTTTCCATTTGTTTCTGCAGATCGTCTGGCAGATACAAGCCAAGAACTACTGAGTGGAGTTGGAATGGAATTTAAAAAAACATGGAGTCCTAACTTTACTAAGACATATACAACTAACTTGTCAGGGTCAACTATAACTGTTCTAACACCAAGGGAAACATCATACAAACCTCTTTTTTTTGATACTTTAAATATGGATTCGAAGGATGAGAATGGTAGCAGCAATAATGTGGGTGATAATGATGAATTATCATCTAACAGTCCCTTGGGTGGAATGTCAGTGAAAACACTCATGAACAAGACACCACTGACTAAGGATTCTGCAAAATTCTCAGGCACTGAAGAAGATAGTGAAGATGATGTCAAGGTATGTGCCTTGTTAAAAATTTATTTTATGTTAAGGAGTGCATAGGGCATTGATGAACATTTTTTTTTTTTTCAACAAGTCGGCCGTCTCCCACCAAGGCAGGGTGACCCAAAAAGAAAGAAAATCCCCAAAAAGAAAATACTTTCATAATCATTCAACACTTTCACCTCACTCACACATAATCACTGTTTTTGCAGAGGTGCTCAGAACACAACAGTTTAGAAGCATATACGTATAAAGATACACAACATATCCCTCCAAACTGCTAATATCCCAAAACCCCTCCTTTAGAGTGCAGGCATTGTACTTCCCATTTCCAGGACTCAAGTCCGGCTATATAAAAATAACCAGTTTCCCTGAATCCCTTCACTAAATATTACCCTGCTCACCCCTCCAACGATCGTCAGGTCCCAAATACCATTCTTCTCCATTCACTCCTATCGAACACGCTCATGCACGCCTGCTGGAAGTCCCAAACCCCTCACCCACAAAGCCCCCCTTACCCCTTCCTTCCAACCTTTTCGAGGACGACCCCTACCCCGCCTTCCTTCTCCTACAGATTTAAATGCTCTCCATGTCATTTTTACTTGATCCATTCTCTCTAAATGACCAAACCACCTCAACAACCCCTCTTCAGCCCTCTGACTAATACTTTTATTAACTCCACGCCTCTCCTAATTTCCACACTCCGAATTTTCTGCATAATATTTACACCACACCTTGCCCTTAGACAGGACATCTCCACTGCCTCCAACCACCTCCTCGCTGCTGCATTTACAACCCAAGCTTCACACCCATATAAGAGTGTTTGGGACTACCTATACTTTCATACATTCCCTTCTTTGCATCCAAAGATAACGTTTTTTGACTCCACATATACCTCAATGCACCACTCGCCACTTTTCCTTCATCAATTCTGTGATTAACCTCATCCTTCATAAATCCATCCGCGGACACGTCAACTCCCAAGTATCTGAAAACATTCACTTCTTCCATACTCCTCCCCAATTTAATATCCAATTTTTCTTTATCTAAATCATTTGATACCCTCATCACCTTACTCTTTTCTATGCTCACTTTCAACTTTCTACCTTTACACACACTCTCAAACTCATCCACTAACCTTTGCAATTTTTCTTTAGAATCTCCCATAAGCACAGTATCATCAGCAAAAAGTAACTGTGTCAATTACATTTTGTATTTGATTTCCCATAATTTAATCCCACCCCTCTCCCGAACACCCTAGCATTTACTTCTTTTACGACCCCATCTATAAATATATTAAACAACCATGGTGACATTACACATCCCTGTCTAAGACCTACTTTTACCGGGAAGTAGTCTCCCTCTCTTCTACACACCCTAACCTGAGCCTCACTATCCTCATAAAAACTCTTTACAGCATTTAGTAACTTACCACCTATTCCATATACTTGCAACATCTGCCACATTGCTCTCCTATGCACTCTATCATATTTTTTTTTTTTTTTTTTTTCAACAAGTCGGTCGTCTCCCACAAAGGCAGGGTGACCCAAAAAAAGAAAGAAAATCCCCAAAAAGAAAATACTTTCATCATCATTCAACACTTTCACCACACTCACACATTATCACTGCTTTTGCAGAGGTGCCCAGAATACAACAGTTTAGAAGCATATATGTATAAAGATACACAACATATCCCTCCAAACTGCCAATATCCCAAACCACTCCTTTAAAGTGCAGGCATTGTACTTCCCATTTCCAGGACTCAAGTCCGACTATATGAAAATAACCGGTTTCCCTGAATCCCTTCACTAAATATTACCCTGCTCACACTCCAACAGATCGTCAGGTCCCAAGTATCATTCGTCTCCATTCACTCCTATCTAACACGCTCATGCACGCTTGCTGGAAGTCCAAGCCCCTCGCCCACAAAACCTCCTTTACCCCCTCTTTCCAACCCTTTCGAGGACGACCCCTACCCCTCTTTCCTTCCCCTATAGATTTATATGCTTTCCATGTCATTCTACTTTGATCCATTCTCTCTAAATGACCAAACCACCTCAACAACCCCTCTTCTGCCCTCTGACTAATGCTTTTATTAACTCCACACCTTCTCCTAATTTCCACACTCCGAATTTTCTGCATAATATTTACACCACACATTGCCCTTAGACAGGACATCTCCACTGCCTCCAACCGTCTCCTCGCTGCTGCATTTACCACCCAAGCTTCACATCCATATAAGAGTGTTGGTACTACTATACTTTCATACATTCATATGCCTTTTCTAAATCCATAAATGCAATAAAAACTTCCCTACCTTTATCTATTAACCCTTTGAGGGTCGACAGGCCCTCTCCGAAACTCGTTCTCAGGGTTGGCCAAATTTAAAAAAAAAAAAAAATAGTTTTCTCTTATGAAAAGATAGAGAATCTTTTCCCGATCATAAAGACACCAAAAGTTTGAAATTTGATGGAAAACTTACGGAATTATGCTCTCGCGAAGTTAGTGGTCTCGTCGATGTTTACGCATCAGCGATTTTGCCCACTTTGAGCCCCATTTTCGGCCAATTCCACTGTACTTGTTGACAAAAAACATGAATATTTCGCTAGAACTCCATTATTTCTATCGAATGGGTGCAAGAAACCACCCATTTATCAAATTCAACTATCCAGTACAGTGGTCAGAATTTAGCAATTTTGCCAATTTCACACAAATTTCAAAAGATGCCAATTTCCGAATAGAGTCCAGAATAAACAAGAAAGACATTCCTGGCACTAAAATGACATTTCCTCTGGTCATTAGTCATGTCTCACGGCCCCTCTTATATTCTTTTGCTTTCCACTTTGAATTTTTATTATCACAAAAAATATAAGATTTACTGTTATGCAGACTACTGCATTAGTGTAAAAAATGGTATAAATATTATTGGCGCACTTGTGAAAGAATATTAGACTCACCAGTTGACATGTATTGGACGCTTGGCACGATTTGTTTACTTTTGAAATTTGGTAAAAATCGAACATTTCTGCTACTTTGAGCTCAATTTCAAGGTACCTTTCATTGTAAAATCAGTCAAAATCATCTCAATTTCTGTAATATGTCTTCCATTCTATAAAATGAGACCAAGAAAACTATAATACAACAATAAATACCATACGAAAATACAATGCAAAGTCGCTGTTTTATTCCAAAAAAACGGTCAAAGTTTTGTTTTTCTCATTATGCACTGTGTGCTGCAGGATTTTTTTTAGACTGTGCACACTGACCACATAGACCCATTCTTTCATATGAAGGCCTACCAGCTTTCTCCCACTAGATTTCAGGGCGCTAGAATTTAGGTGTACTAGTATGTCAAAAACCCTGGGTCGTAAGCTGTACTAGTATGTCTGAAACCCTCAAAGGGTTAAATACTGTTCACATATATGCTTCAATGTAAACACTTGATCTACACATCCCATACCCACTCTGAAACCTCCTTGCTCATCCACAATCCTACATTCTGTCTTACCTCTAATTCTTTCAATAATAACCCTACCGTACACTTTTCTGTTATACTCAATAAACTTATTCCTCTATAATTTTTACAATCTCTTTTGTCCCCCTTCCCTTTATATAAAGGGACTATACATGCTCTCTGCCAATCCCTAGGTACCTTCCCCTCTTTCATACATTTATTAAACAAAAGTACCAACAACTCCAACACTATATCCCCCTCTGCTTTTAACATTTCTGTCATGATCCCATCAGTTCCAGCTGCTTTACCCCCTTTCATTCTCTGTAATGCCTTACATACCTCCCCCACACTTACATTCTGCTCTTCTTCACTCCTAAAAGATGGTATACCTCCCTGGCCAGTGCATGAAATTACCGCCTCCCTTTCTTCCTCAACATTTAAAAGTTCCTCAAAATATTCTCGCCATCTACCTAATACCTCCCTCTCCCCATCTACTAACTCCCCTACTCTGTTTTTAACCGACAAATCCATACTTTCCCTAGGCTTTCTTAACTTGTTGAACTCCAAAAATTTTTCTTATTTTCATTAAAATTTCTTGACAGTGCCTCTCCCACTCTATCATCTGCTCTCCTTTTGCACTCTCTCACCACTCTCTTCACCTTTCTTTTACTCTCCATATACTCTGCTCTTCTTATAACACTTCTGCTTTGTAAAAACCTCTCATAAGCTACCTTTTTCTCTTTTATCACACCCTTTACTTCATCATTCCACCAATCACTCCTCTTTCCTCCTGCCCCCACCGTCCTATAACCACAAACTTCTGCCCCACATTCTAATACTGCATTTTTAAAACTCATCCAACCCTCTTCAACCCCCCTCCCCACTACTCATATTTGCACTAGCCTACCTTTCTGCCAATAGTCGCTTATATCTCACCCGAACTTCCTCCTCCCTTAGTTTATACACTTTCACTTCCCTCCTACTTGTTGCCACCTTCCTCTTGTCCCATCTACCTCTTACTCTAACTGTAGCTATAACTAAATAATGATCCGATATATCAGTTGCCCCTCTATAAACATGTACATCCTGGAGCCTACCCATTAACCTTTTATCCACCACATACATGTACATACATACATACATACATGTACAAGCATATATATATATACACCCCTCTGGGTTTTCTTCTATTTTCTTTCTAGTTCTTGTTCTTGTTTATTTCCTCTTATCTCCATGGGGAAGTGGAACAGAATTCTTCCTCCATAAGCCATGCGTGTTGTAAGAGGCGACTAAAATGCCAGGAGCAAGGGCCTAGTAACCCCTTCTCCTGTATAAATTACTAAATTTAAAAGGAGAAACTTTCATCTTTCTTTTTGGGCCACCCTGCCTTGGTGGGATACGGCCGGTTTGTTAAAAAAAAAAAAAGGAGAAACTTGCGTTTTTCCTTTTGGGCCACCCCGCCTCGGTGGGATGCGGCCAGTGTGTTGAATGAAAGAAGAAGTTTACTGAGTATACCAGGAAAAGTGTATGGTAGGGTTATTATTGAAAAAATTAGAGGTAAGACAGAGGGTAGCATTGCAGATGAACAAGGAGACTCTAGAGTGGGTAGGGGATGTGTAGAGCAAGTGTTTACAATGAAGTATATATGAAGTATATATGAAGTATATATATGCCTCGGTGGGAGACGGCCGACTTGTTGAAAAAAAAAAAAAAAAAATTTAGATAAAGGTAAGGAAGTTTTCATTGCATTTATGGATTTATAAAAGGCATATGATAGAGTGAATAGGGGAGCAATGTGGCAGATGAATATTAAAATGGCATAAAATACCGACAGGTTGTTAGGTATGACACAAATGTAACAGTTCGGTATCTTTATTTCAAAACGTTTCGCCTACATAGTAAGCTTCTTCAGTCGAGTACAGAAAAGTTGATAGAAGCAGAAGATATGTAAGACGATGTAATCAGTCATCACCCTTGAAGTTTTGAGGTGGTCAGTCCCTCAGTCTGGAGAAGAGTATTGTTCCAAAGTTTGAAACAATATGGAGTTGAAGTGACAGGATGGAACCTTATATACTGCCAGGAGGTGAGATATAGGCCACTAGTAGAGGTAAGAATGTAGTCGTTGGTAGGTCATGTCCCTCTCAAATCCAGCCATTCTCACTAGTAGAAGTTGTCCAAGTTGTTTTCTGTTCTGTACCAAGAAACCATTGTGTTGCAGTGTCTGACAGTGAATATTAAAATGGTATAAAATACCGATAGGTTGTTAGGTAAGACACATATGCAACAGTTAGGTATCTTTATTTCAAAACGTTTCGCCTACACAGTAGGCTTCTTCAGTCGAGTACAGAAAAGTTGATAGAAGCAGAAGAGACGTGAAGACGATGTAATCAGTCCATCACCCTTGAAGTTTTGAGGTGGTCAGTCCCTCAGTCTGGAGAAGAGTATCATTCCAAAGTCTGAAACAATATTGAGTTGAAGTGACAGGATGGAGCCTTATATACTGCCAGTATATACTTGCCAGTATGTACTTGGAATACAAGACTTTTTATAATAATGTATAATTCGATCATTTATTTGTTTATCTGTCAGCCAGCATCTCTGTGACGTACGTCTGCAGCAGAGCCATAGCCTTCTTATGATGAGTTTTTCATGTTTTGTTTAATGAGTTTTTTCTTCTCAACAGGTAGAAGATGAGGAACTAGTGCAGTGTTGTGAAGACGATATTGGAGGGAGTTGGATGAGTCAAGTGATTTTTCCATAACCAGAATTTTTCATCTGGTATATCTTTGATAAAGGAAATTGCTTTGACACCCACTTTAAAAAAAATGAGAGTTCTCTTTGATGATACACCATATTTGACTTTAAAGAAGAAGGAAGTTGGCAGCAATAAAAAAATGAGATTGATGATTACCTGTTACTTGACAGCTTAACAGCTGGAATGTTAGCAAGTACAGATGCTCTTTGCTTTATGATGGTTTGATTAATGATATTTAGACTTTACAATGGTGCAATAGAGATTCACATTGATTAGTCATCCAACTTTATTTAACCAAATTTTCCCAAGCCCATTATATCTGCTAAACGTCTAAGTGTGTCTCCCGCTTCTGGTATTTAGTTAATGCACTTCATATATTTATTTATTTATTTATATATTCATATTCAACTTACAATATTTTCAACTTACGGTGTGTTCATCGGAACATAACTTTGTCGTAAGTTGAAGAACACCTGTATGTATCTGTCCAGTAAGACATCTTAGATGCTGCAAATTATGTAAACCAGATTTTGAAAAGGGTAGTATAAACAGTGTTATTTTTTCAAATGAAATTGTATTGCCTTTTAATATTAATCATGAAATACTGTACTAGTTTTTGGAAAGTGCAGCAAAGTGTAGCACAAGTTGCTTCAACTTTCATATGCACTGAAAGTACAGTATATATAACAAATTAGGTTTAGGAATTAGCTCACGGTGAAATACTGATAATTGCAATACATGAGTTTTTTTTACCACTATTTTCTTTAGCATTGAGTGATAAATTATTATATTGCCTTCCTGTAATGGAGATACTTTGATGCTGGTGAAGGTCTTTTCATGCATCTAAGTGTAGCTATGCTCCACTTCCTAAAATCAACCTTGATTACCTCCCATGCCCCAGGCACTGTATGAGCCCCATAAGCTTAGCACTTCCTCATAATTATGATAATATTACAGTATATCATCTCCAAAAACTTAATTGCTTTGGTTTCGATGTGTTTCTTCTTGTCGTGGTTAACTCAAGAATAGTTGACTAGATTAATTCAAACTTTTGATATTAATGTATTTATTAACTTGATGCAGTATGTGGTATTCATTTTCTTGGAAGATGGAGTCCTATTATCACTACTTACATGTAATAACTTTTCTCCAGCATCACTGGTCTTCATTTCTAGAGTGATTGAAAGTATTGTATGTATTTTATTTATAAATAAAATAGAAATTTTTAATCACACTATTGTGTACACATCCCTATGTGAGGAAGGGGTACGTTGATGCCAGCGAAAGGTTCTTATTCCAAGGAATTGAATTAAGAACCCTTCACTAGGATTGCCTCCCATTCCCAGGCACTACAGAACCCCTATGGGTTTAGCACTGCTCATGAATATAATTATACACATGCCTTATTTCCAGGTGATCTGTTCATTAATCTTGAAGATTTTAATTTTCTTTGCTACCAAATAATATGGTGGTTAATCTTACTTAAATTTACTTACAGTATTGGGAAGACTTTTGTTAAGAATTTTTTTATGTATTTTTTGCTACTTTTAGGTGTACTATAACAAAAGGTTCAGAGCAAATTACCTTAAATTTGTAGTACATATGCTTTGGATTACAGTATAATTATAGCTGGATTTACTCATATGTAAATGAGACCCAGGCTTGAGGCAGGAAAAAAAAATACTAGTCCATCAGTGATTATGTTAATGTGATCATTGCTGAAAAAGATAAATGAATCCAGTAATGATTTCATTACAGCAGTACCATGCATAGTATGATTAATGTGTGTCAAAAAAAAAAAAAACTTACTATGCAATACTGTACTGATCAGGGTATTATAATGTTTTTATGTAGTGCATTCCAACAATATGACTAAATGTGCCAGATCTTAAAATATTAGCTGGTTGCTTAGTACAAATCACTGCACATCAAACTCTTGCACACACTTGCAAATAAAGAAGTTACATAAGATAAAAATGAAGAAAATAGTACTAAAATTTTTATTACAGTTGTAAATAAACAGTGTACCATACCTACAGTAAAGAAAAAGATAATACAGCTTCTCCTCACTTAGTAACGTACTTGTTTACTGACAACTCGGACTTACAATGGGCTTTCTGGCCAGTATGCATACCTACATAATGTATATTTGTGCTGATTTCCTCTATTCTGTTTATTACAATATGCAGTACACTACTGTATAAACATTTAAAGCTATACTAAAAATTTTATAAATGGCGCAAAATATTAATACAATGTCAAAGATGGCTGATACAAACCCACTACCTTTATAGTATGCTCCTTGCTTAATAACAAATTCATTTACTGATGTGGTCTTAGGAACGGAATTTCGTCATTAAGTGAGGAGAGGTTGTACAGTGGACCCCCGCTTAACGATCACCTCCAAATGCGACCAATTATGTAAGTGTATTTATGTAAGTGCGTTTGTACGTGTATGTTTGGGGGTCTGAAATGGACTAATCTACTTCACAATATTCCTTATGGGAACAAATTCGGTCAGTACTGGTACCTGAACATACTTCTGGAATGAAAAAAGATCGTTAATCGGGGGTCCACTGTATTTTGAAAAATAGTTGAACAAAGTAGTTTGCATAGTTTTTTCTTTTTATCCGCATACATATCTTTATAGTGATAAATATCATTTTGTAACACCTGCCTGACTTTAATGCCTCATTCAGTGCTTGGATCCGTGTTCATTATGAAGTCACAAGCATCTTTTACTTTCGCAGTTAACATTGATAGTTCATCCAACGTAAATTCTTTTGTGGAAGCAGCATTTTCTTCTTCATTTTCCAGTTTCTATGTATAAACATTGTTGACTCATTTCCACAAGTGTTGAATCATCAAGGTCATCTGAATGAGAGTCATTACATGGCACACATTTTCACAACCCAAAGCTTCTAATAAGAACATAAGAACATAAGAACGAAGGAACACTGCAGAAGGCCTACTGGCCCATGCGAGGCAGGTCCAAGTCTCCTACCGGCTTAAGCCAATGCACCCAACCTAGTCAGGTCAGGTCACATTGACTTAAGGGAGGAACACGGCAACCGACCTGGTAGCACAAGCTATCAGGTCTAACTCACACCCACCCACATCCACTCATGTATTTATCCAACCTATTTTTAAAGCTACACAACGTTCTGGCCTCTATAACGGTACTTGGGAGTTTGTTCCACTCATCCACAAATCTATTACCAAACCAGTACTTTCCTATATCCTTCCTGAATCTGAATTTTTCCAACTTAAAACCATTGCTGCGAGTCCTGTCTAGGCTAGATATTTTCAGCACACTATTTACATCCCCTTTATTTATTCCTGTCTTCCATTTATACACCTCAATCATATCCCCCCTAATTCTACGTCTTTCTAGAGAGTGCAGATTCAGGGCCCTTAGTCTATCCTCATAGGGAAGGTTTCTGATACATGGGATCAACTTTGTCATCCTCCTTTGTACATTTTCCAGAGAATTTATATCCATTCTGTAATACGGTGACCAAAACTGTGCAGCATAATCTAAATGAGGCCTAACCAAGGATGTATAGAGTTGAAGAACAACCTGAGGACTCCTATTATTTATGCTTCTTGATATGAAGCCAAGGATTCTATTAGCTTTATTGCGAACACTTATGCACTGTTGTCTTGGTTTCAGATTACTGCTAACCAGAACTCCTAAATCTTTTTCGCAATCCGTAATATTAAGATCTACATTATTTAGTTTATATGTGGCATGGTTATTGTCCTGTCCAACATTTAGAACTTTGCATTTGTCTATATTAAACTGCATCTGCCACTTCTTTCTCCGACCACTGTATCAGTCTATTCAAATCTTCCTGGAGTGCTCGAATGTCCTCGTCAGAATGAATTCGACGGCCTATTTTGGTGTCATCGGCAAACTTTGCCGATGTCGCTCTTTATGCCCTCATCTATGTCGTTTATGTAGATTGTGAACAGCAGGGGGCCCAACACTGACCCCTGTGGAACAACCGCTCGTGACACTTCCCCACTCTGATTTCTCCCCATTTATGCAAACTCTCTGCTGCCTATTTGTCAACCATGCCTCTATCCAGGAAAAAATTTCTCCTCCTATTCCATGTGCTTTAATTTTCCTCAATAGTCTCTGATGTGGGACCCTGTCAAAAGCCTTACTGAAGTCCATATACACAATATCATATTCATTACCATGATCTACCTCCTCAAATACCTTAGTGAAAAAAGTTAATAAATTCGTAAGGCAGGAACGCCCCTTTGTAAAACCATGCTGAGATTCGTTGATTAATTTATGCTTTTCAAGGTGGCTACGAACTGCCTCGGCAATTATTGATTCCATAAATTTTCCCACTATGGAGGTTAGGCTTATTGGTCTATAGTTCGAAGCTAAGGACCTGTCACCTGTTTTGAAAATAGGTATCACATTTGCCATTTTCCACTTATCTGGCACCATGCCAGTTTTGTAGTGATATGTTGAAAAGATTAGCCAAAGGTGTGCTAAGCTCCTCTTTACATTCCTTTAGAACCCTTGCATACAGTTCATCAGGGCCTGGGATTTGTTAGGTTTTACTTTATCTATTTGCCTAAGGACCATGTCACTTGTGACCCTAATAGTACACAGTTTATTATCGTCCTGTTCTACATAATTTATCATTACTGGAATATCGCTGTATCCTCCTGTGTAAAAACTGAGAGGAAGTATGTGTTAAAAATTCTACACATTTCCTTATCACTGTCAGTGAGCTGACCCGAGGAACTTTTGAGTGGCCTAATCTTGTCCCTGATCTTACTTCTGTATACCTGAAAGAATCCTTTTGGTTAGTCTTCGATTCTCTTGCAACTTTAACCTCATAATCTCTTTTTGCTTTTCTAATTCCCCTTTTTTATTTCTCTCTTTAACTGAATATATCGATTTCTCAATTGCCCCTCTCCTCTTTTGATTTGCCTATATATGCCTCTCTTTTGACCAATCAGATATTTTAATCTATTGTTCTTTCCATTTAGGATCATTTTTGTTTGATCTGATTTCCCTATTTGGAACAATTTGACTGAGCAGCTAGAACTATGCCCTGGAAAGCATCATATGGGCAACCATCACCACCTACCTGACCCTTAGTCAGGTCATTCCAGTTCAGCCCCCTAAGTAATTTTTCAGTCCTATGAAATCAGCCAAGCGAAAGTCAGGGACGGAGACTTGATTGCCATTATTAGGGAATTCCATGATATATTAAAACTGAGTGAATTTGTGATCACTTTCCCCAAGCTCATCATTAACCTCAAATTATTAATTAGTGTTTCCCTACTGGCAAGAACCAAGTCAAGGAGGTTATTTCCCCTAGTTGGCTCTGTCACAAACTGTTTTAAAAAACAATCCTGGATCGTATCAAGAAAGTCACCTGACTCTAAATTTCCTGTCAAATTGCTCCAGTCAATCTGTCTATAGTTGAAATCTCCCATTAGCACAACATTTTCGTATGTAGATGCCTTACGAATTTCGTCCCATAGAAGTTTACTGCACTCCCTATCAAGATTTGGGGCCCTGTAAATCACACCCAAAATTAGTCTGAGATGATCTTTCCCAAGCTGTACAATGTTATCACAAAGTTTCAATATATGATTCAAAACTAGTAAAATCATTGGAACAATGCTGTAAAAGAAATTGCCGAACAGCTCTCATGTTGCTCGCACTTACTTCAGGCCATGATTCAATTATGTTTTCAGCTGCATTTCAGATATTGTAACTTGTCCAAAATTCATTTAAACCTATGGCATTTTCTCCCATTGTTACTTTTATAACTTAGCAAACGTATGTCTAGGAGACTCTAGGCCTTAAATGTGGCAGTGACATCCTGATCCATTGGCTGCAGTAATGATGTCATGTTCAGTGGCAGGAAAATTACATTGACATTTTCATTCAAGTCAGAAAGAGAAGTAGGATGACCTGGTGGATTGTCCAGTTACAACAAAATTTTAAAATCCATGTCATTATCTTTGCAATAACATTCAACTGCAGGGCAAAAATAATTTGCAAACTAATCTTCAAACAATTGTTTCATTACCCGGCTTTCTTATCTGACTGCCATGTAACAGGAAGAGCATTTTTTGAACAGGATTTAAGAGCCCTTGGATTTTCCATACACCAGTGTAGTCTCTAAAGTTACCAGATGCATTCCCACCTTAAAAAATGTGTTAAATGGTCTTTGGAGACTCTATAGCCTGG